TTTTAAACCAAAAACCCACTTGGGCTAGGGTTTTACCTTTACTTCTCTTTTGTTTGAAAATAAGGAACGCCCACTTACCCAATTACTTTTTGTTAAAACAAAACAAAGCCCACGAAAAAGAAATTAGAATCCTATTTCCAACCTCCTTAAGCTTAATTATATCCAATAATAGAATTAAGTAGTTGGTCCAACGACCCAGGACAAATGCCAAACAATCACCAAACATCATTCTCACAATCAAATTTCAACGACATCATGCTCACGGAGAGGGGTGGTGAGTATATAAAATACTCTGTAAGTAGCCCTCACCAAACAATCACCAAACATCATGCTCACAATCACAGCGACATTAACTATCACATTTTTCGAAAGTTTCACTCGTGGACGTGGACGTGGATCAACTTCCTCGATTTTTGAAATATGAGTAAAAGTTTCACTCGTTGGAGGAGGACGTAGACGTGGATCAACTTCCTCGATCTTTGAAATACGAAAATGAGTTTCTTTTGGAGGTGGAGGATGTTCACATCTTCCCCTCTCCCATTTCTTCTCCTTCTTCCTTTGTTCGTTCTTCTCTTTCTTCCATCCTCATATCTCATTATTTAAGTCGCAGCAACACTCTTAGAGCTACTCTTTTTTTCGAGTTTAATATCTATTAGAAATCGACTGACATAACCATCGGTTAAACGGTCGGTTTGTACAGGAAGTAAAAAAAACTTCTGACCGATCGTAACCGACTTGGTTGGTTTCCTGCGTTGGGGTTAACCAAAAACTGACTGACTGATGCTCACCCCTAGTGAACGTGGATTAACTTCCTCAATCTCCAAAATATGACTAGGAGTTTCACTTTAAGGAGGAGGATGTGGACATGAATCAACTTCCTCGATCTCCAAAATACGAGTAAGAGTTGCACTAGGAGTATGAGGATATAGACGTGGATCAACTTCCTCGATCTATGAGAATGAGTAGAAGTTTCACTTGGAGGAAGACGTGACGTGGATCAACTTCCTCGATCTTCGAAATACGAGTAGGAGTTTCAATCGGAGGAGTACATGGACGTGGATCAACTTCTTCGATCTTCAAAACACGAGTAGGAGTTTCACTCAAAAGAGGATAATGTAGACGTGAATCAATTTCCTCCAAATACAAATAGAAGTTTCACTCGGAGGAGGAGAAGGAGGTGGACGTGGATAAACTTCCTCAATCTCCGAATACTACTAGGGGTTTCACGTAGAGGAGGAGGATGTAGACGTAGATAACCTTCCTCAATCTCCTAAATATGAGTAGGAGTTTTAGTCGGAGGAGAAGGACGTGGACATGAATGTGAATCGATTTTCACGATCTCTGAAATACGAGTAAGAGTTTCACTCAAAGGAATAGAATGTGAACGTGGATCAACTTCCTCAATCTCCGAAATACTAGTAGGAGTTTCATTCAGAGGAGGATGACATAGAAGTGGATCAACTTCCTTGAAATACAAGTTGGAGTTTCACTTGGAGAAAGAGGATGCACGAATCAATTTCCTCAATCTTCAAAATATGACTATGAGTTTCATAAGAGGAGGATGACGTAAACGTGAATCAACTTCCTCGAAATTTAAGTTTCACTCGGAGGAGGAAGAGGACGTGAATGTTGATAAACTTCCTCGATCACTTGGAGGAGGAGAACCTAGACGTGGATAAACTTTCTCGATCTCCGAAATAGAAGTAGGACTTTCACATGGAGGAGAATGATGTAGAAGTTGATCAACATCCTCGAAATACAAGTAAGAGTTTCACTCGGAGGAAGAGGACGTGAATGCATACAACCTTCCTCGATCTTTGAAATACGAGTAAGAGTTTCACTCGGAGGAGGATTAGGATGTAGACGTGAATCAACTTCCTCCATCTCCGAAATATGACTAGGAGTTTCACTTGGAGGAGGAGGAGGACGTGGACGTTGATCAACTTATCGATCTCGAGTAGGAGTTTCACTCAAGGGAGGACGTGAACGTGGATCAACTTCCTCAATCTCCCAAATACGATAACGAGTTTCACTCGGAGACGAAAGACTTGAATGTGAATCAACTTCCTTAATCTTCAAAATACGTGTAGGAGTTTTACTTAGAGGAGGCTTTGTTAGGACTTTCTCTACCTTTAAAAAGATTAGAGACTCGTGCAAGCGTACACGGTCACAAGTAATACTCGGAAGTAATCTAAGGTCGAATCCTCAGGGACTTGCTGCTTTTCAAAATCAAATAATGCAGTGAAATGATTCAAATATACAATTATGATGTAGGAAGAAAAATGTGATGAAATGTTGTTGTTTGGGGTTTTAACTAACAAGCAATTTAATAAAACTCAACCTCCTTGTCTCCTACCTTGGTTTTGATGCAAAACATGGAAAACACACTATGTTGGGAAAATGCACCAGGCGTAATTCCTAGCTTTTCTTGGGATTTGAGATCTACTTTTTCACTACCGCTTTTGGTTGCTGCAGAGGCTAGGGTAACCTACAATCATATTCCTATGTGTGATTACAATCCTAGAGAATATCTACCAACTCATTTGCATTATAGGTCAGAGGGCCTATGTCTAGGACCATGTTTTATGCGCTTATTTCTAAGTCACATCCCATATTGGTTTCCTATTATTTTACCTAACTCACCTTTCCATGGTTAGGCTTTGATGTATAAATCAAGTCCCCACTGGCGAAATGGAAAAAAGACGTAAAGAGAAGTTTTTAGAAACCAACCCAAAAAAGTGTCAGGCGCAATCTAGCCAAAATCCCGAGCGTGTTGAAAATCAAATCATTTGACTAAGGCATTCCACAAGGAGGTTGATAACTAATTTAGAACATAATTAAATTAAAGTAAATGCACAAAAACATCAAGAAAATATTTTCATTGAATTTAAATGAATAAATAAGTCGTACAAGGAGTTCTAGCTTGATCCTCTTCTCTCTTGACCGTGAAGGGAGTTGAAACTCGCTAAAGAACTTTAAAATAACAGAATGAACAAAGAACGGAAGTAAGAACTAAAATTAAAAGCAATACGAAAGGTAAAAGCATGAAAAACGAAGAAATGAACAACTAGAACATGAACATATACCCTAAAAACGTGTTCTACAACTAGACAGCATCTAGAAGAAGATGAAATGAAGCTTGGAAGAGATGATTTGCTGAGGGATGGATGGCTTCATTTTATAGCACCATAGGTTGGTTGAAACTCCCCTGCATTTTACGTGGAAAATGGTTGAGATTCACCTAACCACCTCACTTGGACTTGGACTCACGGTTTTGAACATGTGAGAAATGTCCTCCTTGCCCTTCATTAATAAAAACATGCGTTTTGACATATTGCCCTCCAAAAATGCGTCGGGCGCAATTATGCAAAAAATAGAATTCTGTTATTTTCTTCCAACTTTGACCGCATTTATCTCATATTTTTCCTAAAGTACCATAGTTTGACTTTTATGCAGAAATAATCTATGTATGTTCTACTTTAAGAATATGTGGTCCTTTTCAGCAAATAATAATGGAAAATGGGTCAAAAACGTGGTCAAATAGGGCTACTGACACATGTTTCTGCAGTAAAAAGTCAACTATAACACACCCCCAAACTTAGCCATTTGCTTGTCCTCAAGCAAAAACAACAACAACAAATCTAAAACAATTAACATGCTAGAAAGATGAATGATCAACAATCCAAATGTCCTAAGTAAATGAATCATATAAGTCTCAGGAAAGGCTCCACAAGCTAAACGTCCTAACTTTACTTTCAAGCCAACAAACCATAAACCATCCTTTGTTTTGAAAATAAAAACGATTCTAAATCTTCTTCTTTTCTAAAACACAAAACTCTTTTACAAAACCATGGAATATGCACACTTCCGTTTTGATTCAAACATTTTAACATCAAGTGGACCGGCTACTAGCCCTTGAGGTTTTCAACACCTTATGAAACACCCCAGGATTTTCAACATTCAAACAGGGAACGTTACTAAAAGCCACTTGAAAAGTATAACTCGTACTAGAGAGTTAAACCACTAGAAATACAAACTTTGACAAATTCTCACCACGCTTCCGCTGCGCTACTATGATTAATAACACTTACAAAACCTTGCACTAAACAAAACAAACACCACTAAAGTTCTAACGAAACTCAAATTCTTCTCGGTTAATAATTTAGTAACAATCCAACCTTATAGAAGCTTTGCACCAAAATCTTCACTAACCATAAACTATCCACTACACAAAACTAACTTTCTCGAATAACAGCGACGCAAAGGCTAATTCAAGTTCAACTTGAACAAATGTATTATCCTGATAAATAACCTCAATAGATCACATCATCAAAGTTCAAGTAGCTAAACAAAATTAATTTTCTTAAAAGAATCATGAACTGTCAGTCCTAAAACATCCTTTAAAAAAAGAACTTAACAATCCAATTTAATAATCTAACAACAGACTCAGTTACAAATAAACAACTATAACTATCCTATCCTAATTGAAAATTAGCAATGCAACGTTAAATGGTTTCTCTAGTCAAATCTCCTCCTCGCCATCACCATCTCAAGAGCTAGCTCGATACCTACAAAATTGGAGGAGGAAAAGAGGGATGAGTACAACCATAGTACTCAGTAAGCAGCCCTTATCTGAAGGGTTACGCACAAATATCATGCTTATCAAGGATACAACGTGTCATGCTTATCAAAGAATCAACACATCATGCTTATCATTAATCTCGAGCCTTAAATGAAAGAAACATATTTCAAGAAGCAGTTTATATATAAGTTTAACTAAAAATATACCATACATCTCGAACTCAGCCTCACATCTTAACTCACTAGTGCTCTTTCTTGATTCCTCCAAGACTTACTCCTTCGAGTCGTACCGACTCCTGACCTCGCGTAGCTAAAGCACCGACAATTCTCTACGGTGCTCGGTGTTGGACCTTAACATTTATCCCCAAGGCTTCAACTACTACTCAACGTATTGGTCCTTGGCCTCCAAGCAACTCCTAACCTATC